TGAAATTTTCTGGCTGGAATTTGGGTAACTCGGGAACTGAGAAAGCTGGGAACCTAGGATTTCGAGTGAATGTTTCTTGTCCAAGTATAGCGTGGATAATTAACTTCCCGAAATTCGAGGGTCAGTACGTACAAGAGGTTTCTAGCTAGCGGATTTCGAGTGATCTTATTACAGCACGAAACACTGCAAAAACGCATGATCCCGCCCAGCGCGCGTCGCCAGTGATTTCTAATGTGACAGCTTAGGCCCTGTGTGTTGTTTAATGAAAAGGCTTTCAGGCAGATTTCGGGGTCGAGTTAAATTTCGATGAGCGCATCCCCCTCCCCCTCCCTAAATTTTGAAAGATACAGTATCGTTGGTCCTGTTCTGTGTATTTGGCATAATTCTAGGCGCTGGTCTTTTCCAGATACTTGTTGCTAAGAACATAGGGGCTTCTCACGTTTGTTTACTGCTCACGCGAAACATGTAGTTTTACACTACAGCCAAACTTTATTAACAAACAACAAAAGCGCATTCGTTTCGATGGGCAGATCTGGGGGCAAATTCAACACGACTTCAATCTTCGGACATTCAAAAAATAATACTCAGACAAAAGTAGCGTTGGTGAAAAATATTGAAATTAACAATACAACACTGGCATTACTAGCGGGAAACATGTGGTGAGAGGGAGAAGGGGGCTGACCGCTGCCTTGTTCTAGCAGGATAGCAAAGGGAAAACTGTGAAAAAGACTTCCTTCATGCGAAAAAATAAGGGAAATTGACCTGGGGACAAATAAGAGGAGCAAATTCAGCAGAAACATGTACATTTTTGCTTACAAAAAAATGCAAAAGAAAATTAGATATTTGATTTTTTTTCTTATAAGGCTTAAAAATTGGTACCAGAGGGCTAAAAATAGCCAGATTTGAGTAAATGCATCACAAGCATATTTAGGAACGAATGTTAAAACCGGAAAAAACATTTTTTTCGGATGTTCAAAGAACTTTTTTATCCTTCTTTTGTGGTACTTCTATCTCTTTGGCATTTAACGTCATTTATAAAATTCAGTCTTTGCTAAGTTTAATTGTTTAGACAGGATTTTTCTTCGTCTGGGTCCTTTGTAAGACCTTTTTTGCATCGCAGGGATTATATCTTATACGAGTTCAAAAAATACCCCTGAAAAGTTCTGTATCATTATTATCGTTATTTTTATTGCTATTGCTACTATTGTTGTTATCATCATTATCAATGTTATTATCATTATTATTGTTATTATTATTAAAAATCCCGAAAATTAAAAATGGAGAAAATGATATGAAACAAATTTGCATATAAAAATCTTTCAAAGCAAATGCAGAGAATTTACAGTCATTTTTAAGGCATTTCACCGATTTGACTAAAAAAAATTGAACATTCACGAAATCCTCATCCTTTGAACATTATGAAGAAGACCGTCGAGTACATGAGTTTAGTTCCGGATGTCGCCTTTTCGTAAACGCTGCAGTCAAAAGAGCAGTTTTTCGAAGTCGACTGCTTGGATAGTTGACCGTTTGACGTCGGCGTACCATCGCTGCGTCCATGCTTAGCCAACGATGCGTCAAAGCTTCATCGGTACGCATACGCCTCCTGGAAGAGAAGCGAAGGAATATCGCAAAATACAAATTTTGTGCCAAATTTTT